CTACATTGGTATACCAGTTATATTATTTTTTTTGTTAACAAAGCATAAGGCTTGAAATTTGTCTTATTCCTCAATAAAAGAGTTAAAAGCTGTAAAATGGCTAATTTTTCCTCAGTATTCTGTTGGATGTTCCTGAGAAATTGTTTTGTTTGTAGTGAAACACAGCCCATAATAATGAGTTCTTACCGTGGCATGCCCAGTGTTTCAAATATGTCATTTACTTGCAAATACACTTGTAATTTCCTAGGCTTTGTAATTATACTGTGGATAAAAGGATATGTAGGTCTAAGTATTTGGTAACTAACTCACCTCTATTATCAGTTATCCTTAATTTGTAAATTTTTCTCCCAGCTGTGTTCAAATCAGTACCAATTCTGTCACTTTGCAACTGAATTTTTTTTCATCAGTTAAGAATTTAAATTTTGAGAAGTTTGGGATCTTAATTTTGGTCACTGCTTTATCCTCTGTTCTTATGGAAAACTCTGGTACATACTAGGCATTACGGCTTAAATATGAAGTGTTCCCCAAAGATTCATGAATTGATTCCTTGATCCCTAATGCAGCAATGTTCAGAGGTGGGGAGCCAGAAAGGTGGATGGATCATGAGGGCGCTAACCTCATGTTTTCAGCTGAAGAGGCTATTAGTACACATGGTCCATTTGGAGAAAGTGGGTCACTGGGGGTGTGCCTTTGAAGAGTGATTCTCTTCTTGGAATTTACCTCTTTCACTTTACTTCTTGGATGCCATGAGTTGAGCAACTACTTTCTGCCATATCATTTCTACCTTGGAGCCAGTGAACTATGGATGGAAACTTCTGAAATCCAAATAGACTTTTCTCCTTCAAGTTGTTTATGTAAGGTGTTTGGCCCAACCAAACAAAAGTTGACTAGCACAGTAGGCAGGTGATAAATATTCATTGCATAAATGATTAAATGACTCTGTATTTTTGTTTCCCAGCTTTTTTAGAAAGGATTAGATTGGATGAAATATAAAAATTGCCTAGAATGGGGCATATAATCAATATATTAATTTTTCCTGTTAACTAAAGAATAATAATCTTCCAAAGTCACAAGTCTTCCTGGCAAAGTGGATTGAAATCCAAATGAGTTGATGTTTAATATTTCTCTATAAACCCTAGACAAGCACAGCAGCTTTTACATTATGAAAAAAAAGTGCTGTATTAGAATTGATTCTTTGAAAGCCAGAGACATTAAATGGGTCATGCACCTTAGTATGCATATCCCCAGTTTGTATGCAAAAGAAAGAAAAAAAGGACAGGAGAAAGAAGATGAGAAAGATGGAGAAAGTGTAAATTTTCTCTGTCAAATGAGAAAAAGAGGTACACTGTGTTCTCACAGGCACTTCTTGTCTCCACATATACCTCCTTTTATACATTTGAAATTTGTTGCTTAAATATTTAAGCACCAAAAGAAAGAATTGTTTTATTTGCTTTGGCATTACCTTTCAATTTTTACATAGTGTTATGGCTTATATCTAGATGTCCCCCTAAAACCTCATGGGATCATAAGTAGGACCTTTGGACAGTGATTGGATTATAGCTGACTTGCTGCTAGGAGGTAGGACCTGGTCAAAAGAGGTAGGTCATTGTGGGCATGACTTGGAAGGTTATATCTCCCTTCTCAGCTCTTTCCTTAATGCTCTCTGCTTCCTGTTCACCATGCAGTAAGCTGCTGTCCTCCACCATGACCCCTCTGTCATATCAAACTGCCTTGCAGCCAGCTGACTGCACTGAAATTGAGCAAAAATAAACTTTTCTTTCTTTAAGTTGTGGGTGTCAGGTACTGTGTTTCAGCAATGAGAAAGTGACTAAGACAAATTTTGTTACCAGAGAAATGGGTTGTTGCTGTGATGCTATCTGACCATGTGGTTCAGAAACCTTTGGAAATGGTTTGTGGGAGAAGTTTGGAAAGGTTTGGAGATACTGGAGAGAAAAGCCCTAGAATGTTGTAGCCTGAGATTGACGGGAAATTCTGGTCAAAGCTCAAGAAGACCAGAATGCTGCTAGAAATGCAGATGGTAAAGACCAGACAAAAGAAGTTTCAGTTGGGAACAAGCACTCTATTGGCAATTGGACTCCAGGCCATGTGTGTTATGCTGTGGCAGAAAATTTGTCTGCATTTTGCTCACATCCTGAGACTTTGTGAGAGATGGAGATAAAGGACAGCAAACTTATTAATCTGATAGAGGAAATTTCAAGGTATCCCAACCTTAGGGCAACAGAATGGTTATTGTTTGTTGCTTTTAATAAGATCTACTGTGGAAAACAGTAGCAAAATGCCCATTTAAAAAGTTTCCAGTTTTGCCAGACAGAAAATACCAGCAAAGATGAAGCAGAGGAAAGCTTGGTTGCTGAAAGTATTAGCAATAAAAAGAAGCCAAGTACCTTATAAATGGATAATAGGAAAGATGCATGCAGGGCCTGTGAAGAACTAGCAAGGCCATAACCTTTGAAAGCTCAAATTTGTGAAAGTGAAAGACTTTGCTTTTAGAAGAGAGCCCAAGAGCATTGTACTTAAAAAGGGCTACTTAGGAAATTTGTCTCCTGGGATTCAGTTTACATCCCTCAGCTATTCAGGCACTTGGAGACCTCTGCAGCCATGCTACAAGGGATCCTAGCTACTGCTCAAGCTGGAAGTAGCCCTTGGGATTGTCCACATGGTGTTGCAGAATGCAAGCATGCAGAATGCAAGAGTTGTGGGGTCAGGAAGGTTTCCACCTAGATTTTAGAAGAAGGCTTGGGAGCCAGCCTGTGTGCCCCTGAGAAGGAAGGCAGTGCATGAAGTTGTGAGAGTGAAGCCAAAGTGCAGTGGAGACCTCAGGAAGTTAGAAGAACCAGAAATGTGGATTTTCTGAGAGAAGCCACAAGGAGTATGCAAATCCAGCTCAAGAGAGAAGCCATAAAGGCTACAACTACCAGTAATGCCATAGGGGCATGGTCACCTAAGCTCTTCAGAGTTCACATCTCATGAGCAAAAGAGTTTGGTTTAAAGAGTTTTAAATGAGCATTTTGCTACTGTTTTCACAGTAGATCTTATTAAAAGCAACAAACAATAACCAAACAATAACTTTCTAGGCAAAGAGTTTACTCTGCTGGGTTCTGGTCTTGCTTTGATCTGATTTCTTTTTATTCCCCTGTCCCTCACTTTTGAAATGGGAATATTTACCCTGTGTCATTGTATGTAGGCAGTGCTTAACTTTCTTTTTGACTTTTACAGGGGCTCACAGATAGATAAGTTTGTCTTAAGCCTCAGAGGAGACTTTGGACTTGGACTTTTCATAAAGCTGGAACTGTTAGGACTTTGGCAACTCCTAGAGATGGAATAAATGAAATTTGCATCAAGAAATGTGGATAAGTCTTTTCATAATGCTGGAACTGTTAGGACTTTGGCAACTCCTAGAGATGGAATAAATGAAATTTGCATAAAGAAATGCAGATAAGTCTTTGGGGGCAAGGGCAGAATACTATGGTTTATATCTAGATGTCCTGCTAAAAGCCTCATGAGATCATAGGTGGTACCTTTATAAGGTGACTTTTATAGGCACATTATAGCTGACTTGCTATTAGGAGGTGGGTCCTGGTTGGAAGAGGTAGATCACCGGAAGCATAACCTAGAAAGTTATACCTCCTTTTCTGGCTCATCCTTTGATGCTCGTTGTTTCCTATCGACCATGCCATTTGTAACTCTCTCGTGACATGCCTCTCTGCCATATCATCCTGCCTTGGAACCAGTAAACAATGGACTGAAATGAGAGCAAAAATAACTCTTTGCCCCTTTAAATTGTGGTATTGACTATTGTGTCATAGCAACTTGAAAATGACTAAGACATACGGATTTATGAAAACACATGCAAATGTCCAAAGCAATCATCCCCCTACTCAAAGCCTATATACAGACAGGTTCACATGCATACACATGTACAACTAGCAGCCTCCCCTAGCTAAGGAGACAGGAAAATATTATTTTTAAATAAATAAAAAGTGATAGGGCAATAGACACTACTAGTACACTGGTACATCCTCCCCATTTACCTAGATTAATAGCTGGCATGGTACCCTAATTTCATCATTTACTTTCCAAAACAGAAGAAAATTATTTTATTTTGAAGCACAGTGGATGATTTTTTTCCCATAATGGTGTAAAAATAAAATAAAGAACACAGCAAAGAATTATTGTATTCTTATTTGAATTAGCTTTCAATTGTGAAAGTGATATCATTTTATTCTCATAGAACTCCCTGTTGTAGCTGAAGTTGTGTGTCTATGTGTGTGTGTGTGGGAGAGAGAGAGACAGAGAGAGACAGAGACAGAGAGAGAAAGAAATTACATGTGACTGTACACTAAAGAGGGCTTATTACTGTGGACAAAAAGAGTTTTCTCAATTTTCTTTTCAAAATAAGAAAGAAAGTAATGTTCTATTTTTGTGAAATACAAGGTTGTATACCTTAGTAAGAAATATAATAAGGTAATTTTCTAAATAGCTTATTGCTAGGAATATGTTTATACAACAGGCAACAAAAGTATGAAGACAATTTTTATGTATGACTAGTACTTTTCTTTTTCTTAATGTATATCTCAAAAATATATTAGTATATCTCTAATCTAAATAGACTAAAAACTGCAACCTCTGATATAACAGTTGATAGAATTTTATGGAAAGCCTGTGAAAGTTCTTAGTCACTTTTATTTTGGTAAAGGTGTGTAAAAGTCCTCTGTAGTGCAAGGGTGGGTCTAAAGAACAAGAAAGCCTTTATAACACATGAATGTCCTAGTGGCTTGGAACTTCTGTTATCTCTGAGTCAGAATGTATGGGTGCATGATTGTCTGAAATTAAACATATTTTGATACCAGCAATTAGAAATTTATAACCAGAAGAAAAGTCCAATAATCTGATTTTAATAATCTAATAACTGACTCACCCTTCAAGTTTAAACTATCCACTTCTAAGAAATTATGTTGGAGAGTTCAGTGATATCTTACCTGCTCAGGATTTTGTACTATGTATCTCCTAATATTGGTTTGTGGATATGTAATGACTTTCACTGTTGGAGAATGGAGTTCCTATTAAAAAAAAAGATAAAAGATACTTATAATCATAGCTATATAATGACCTTAGTGCCATCAATAATAATAATGGGGAACAATTTTCAGAGTGAAAGCTAAGAATCATTTGCAGGAAGGATGATGTATGATTTTATAATTTAGTTCATTTTAATCTTGGAAACACAAAAGCATGGTCGCCTGCTAAGCACTGTGCCAGTTATTTTTCTATTATATTAACTTCATAGGAATTCACCATACTTTCTGAACTATATTTGATGAAATTTCCAAAATAATTTTTAATTGTAAGTGCCACTGTATGTTTAGAAAAAGATAGCTTAATATATTTTAATAAATACTTAGTTTGGAAAAAACAGGTTACATTTTTTAAAGGAAAAGACAAAGAAAAACGTGTGTATATGTATGTGTGTGTGCACTTAAACATTTATATCTTTAGTGTGTCAGAAGGGGAAGGCTATAAGTGATATTAAAATGTTTACAAAACATGAAAACTAAGTCATTTGTAAAATTTTAGTGGAAAAAGTCAAAATCATTAATAAAGAGGTCATATACATCAATGAGAAAACTATTTACACTAATAAAAAATGAGCATATGGCATACACAATTTTAAAAGAAGAAAAGTAAATGGTTAATAAACTTAAAAAGTTTTCAACCAAACTAGGAATCAGAGCTAGTAAAAATGTATTTATGGAGGTCCAGGGATTTAGCTCAGTGGTTCTGCTGCCTACCTCGCAAGCGCAAGGACCCGTTTGATCCCCGGTACCCCCCCAAAAAAATTTATGGAAAAGAATTAAAGTAATAATGCTGACAAATGTGTATTTGATGAAAAATTATCATGTATAGGCTGAAATACATAGCTGTTAAATAATGATCTTGAGTAATAAAAATTTACATGAAATAACATGACATTTTATAAGGTTAAGTGAGAAAATGAAGATATAAAACTGAATATAAGTATGAACTTGATTTTGTTTGTGAATGGAAAAAACAATGAAATGTTTCTTATTATCTCAGTGAGGGAGGGAATTATGAGTGATGTTTATTGTTGCTTCTTGATATTCATTTATAGATCTAAAATTTTCTATAATAAACATTTTATTATAAATTAAATGTATAGGGCCAGGGATTTAGCTCAGTGGTTTCGCCGCCTGCTGCGCAAGCACAAGGACACGAGTTCGATTCCCAGTACCCCCCCAAATTAATTAATTAATTAATTAAATGTATAGAAAATTCAATTTTCTGAGGCAATTCTGCTTTGGTGATCTTATAAGGCTCCATTTCTAAGTCAACTGCAATCTTCATTCTGCTGCTCTATTGTTTATCATGTAAGCAACCCAAGTCAGTCTGTGAACTCCTTGAAAATAGTAAATGGACCCAGTTCACCTTTGTGTAATATTGGCATAAAATTGGCACTCAATGTTTGCATGATTCTAACTAGCTCAGATATAGTGTAGGCCAAATGGGTAGGAAAACTTTCTTTGATAATTATCATATTCATTCTATATAATTTCATCTTTTCCTTATGATGCTCAAAGTTTAGAGAAGAGTTTTTGTCCATTTGTTTCCTCACTATCCAAGTTCACACCATGGCATTTTATCTGGGTGAGACTGTTTTCTAAAAACAGAATCTTCTCTTCCTCCTACCCTCTAAATTCTACATCCCCTATCTTATCCTCCCACAAAACTTTGCATGTCTTAAATTTAGTTTTCTTAGAATTTACTTTTTCATATATGGAAATTAGCTAAACAAATATCTTTGGCATACTATTTAATTATCATTGTAGATACTTTTTGGACACACAGTACCTAGATTCAAGAAGATACTAAAGGTGGAATTATTAGGCTATGGAGATCTTTGTGTGTCTTTAAAGTCATGAACCTATGAGAAGGGCTGTTCTACTAATTATTCTCTCCAAATGAAAACATAAAGTACTGCCACTCACAAAGTCATTTCCTCAGTCCGCCCAAGATCTAAGTATTTTATTTCTCAAATCAATGAAACAAGATACTCATATTTACTAGAAAATTCTTGGCTAAAATTAAACTGCATTCAAACTAAATGCAATTAGGTTGAATAGGAATGAAATTGAAAAATCTGATTCACAGCACTCATTTCACATCCTTTAATAGGCTGAGCTGATTCTTATATGTGAGACAATCCTTTTTTGTTTTAAGGTCCTGACATTTCGTGAATATCTAAAATCTTATGAGGGCCTTAATATTGTTCAAACATATAAGCAAGACTTACATAAAAAGAAGGAAAACTAATGTAATCCATAATTTATTTTACCTGTTCAGTGTTTTGCGTTATATGTAAATTGCTTGGGGCACAAGTTGATATTTTCAGAGTTGGAGAATGGAGTTCCTATTGAGGTAAAAAAAACAAGGTTCAAAAATTGTTGCTGAGCGGTGTCCTTTGAAAGTCTTAAGTTCCCAAAGTATTATTTTCTTTGTTTTTTATAATAACATTAGGAATAAGAGCATTAAACAAGCCTTTCTTAAATGACATACATCTTTCCAAAGAACACATTATTGGATTCTTTTGTTACATTTGTAAGTAATCTAGTGATATTTTCTAGAACACTTTCACAGCAATATATCTTCCTTGTACAGTTAGATTGTTCCTCTTCTTCTTTGAGAACTATGCTAACATACACTCCAATGCTATTGCATGCCTGAAATTAACAAAATGCAAATTTTTATGAAATAAAAACATTAAATATTAAACTTCTAGTCTACGGCCATACCACCCTGAATGCGCCCAATCTTGTCTAAATATAAAACTTCTCAAATATAGGAAACCATCTTTGAAAACTTGTCTAAAACAATTGCCCTTAGACTATATCAAGTTGTATTTAATTATGATTTTTCTCATCTGATACTAGTTTAATTCCAAAGAGTAGACTCTGATGTTTAAAAAATGAACCATAAAAGTGAAATAATTCAATTTCTAATAAGTGCTAGATAAAAAGATCATATTATTGATTATTTTGGCATTGTTTATATCTTTCACCAAATCATCAAACTTGTATAGTTTTATTAGTGTGCACAGAGTTGATAACATTACTCAATCTCCCCATACCTTCCTGTTATTTACAGTTAATTGAAATGAATATGACATTTTCCCACAAAGATAAAAATATATTTTCTTTAGAAGAGAAGAATTATTAAAATCAGAATCATTGATTTAGGAAGGAAACACTGACAGACTAGTACAGGAGCATAGCTATAATGTAAATGAAATTTTTTCTTAAAACAGGACATTGCATTTATTCAGACTGTCAAATGCTCTGTGTTCTATTTATTTTGTTGTTGTTGATTAATTTGTAGTGTTTCCATCCTCCCTATCTTCTAAGATCAACAGCAATACTGCATGTTCCGTATTCCTAGGAAATTCTGAATATGTCCCTAGATTTTCTACTGGCAGACAAGGAGAATTTCTCAGACAGATGCAGAGAATTAAAGATTGTAAACAAAATAGGTACATGCTCTTCAGTTTAGGAAAATGTTTTTAAATACAATCATGAGTTTGGTCCACAGATCCAAGAAGTACAGGTTCTGGGAGACAGAAAAGAAAGGAGTGCTTTTTGCATATGTAATACATGAGTACATTCTTTTTTTGTTTTTTTTTTCAGGACAACTTTTTATCGCTACCAGAGGCTTTTATCATCAGTACGTGGTTCTGACTGCAATACCTTCTTCAGACTGCAAAGGGAGCTCAGGATCCAAGTCATTAAGGGAAGTACAAACAGGTTATGAGACATGGAATAATTTAGAGTTCTGAATTACATGTTACAGACTCAAATAATAGAGCTGCCCCAACATCTAGACAGGCTCCTACTGATTACAAATGGGTGAGAACAGATCAGTTGCAAAAATCTAATGATGTTACATATAGGTTTCTTTGGTAAGCACCTGGATATATTAAATTTGTCACAAATTCTTTCATACAAATGTCAAAAATGCTTTCAACAAATCTAAGTGTTCTAGTTACATGCCATTTTAAAGTTTAAGATAAAGCCCTAATTTTGTCTTAAAACTAAAAATTGAAATGAGAAACAAAATCCATGTGGTAATGTGAGAACTTTGTCTATTGTCATCTCTGATTCATCTGGACAATTCCAAAGTACACTTTCCACACTAAATGGAATCTAAACCATGGATTAAATATGGCTGTCATACTAATTTTGCTTAAAAGAAAAAACTTGGGAGGGTTCCTATTCAGTGGAAGTCAGAGAACACAGATCAACATGCATAAAATTTATTAAGTATTCAATGAAGAAGCAAGCAAAAGCAAAAGGAAAATAAATCAGGATGCTAGGAAAACAAGTTGATAGCTGTGAATTTTGGAATTTTTTTCCAAATATTGTAATTTTTTGACATGGGGCAAGCTACATTTTAGCAAAAAACGAGCAGAACTGACATACTATAAAGAAATTTACTACGAGTACATTCTTAAAATAATTCTTTACATAGACAAAGCAAAAACCTTCCCTTAACTACCCTCCCTCCACTCAAATCACTAACTCAGAGATAACTATTACTGTCAGCTAGTGTATCTTTACACAAATATATGTGTACAGATACTGATTTTATTATTCTATAAGTTAATATCTCTGTATTATATACTAAGTGTATGTCTTATTTCATCACTTTTAAATGGTTGTGTTTCATGTTCGTTTGATAGCTTATTTGTTTCAATACTAATCAAGGTTTAAATTGTTTCTTTATTTTGACTATACTACAATGAGCATCCTTGTGGAATGTGTTTCTTTAGAATCCCACAAAAAGTGAGATTCCTAGAGCAGAGATTATGTGCATTATTCATTTTAACAGATAATGACCAATTGTTTTTCCAAGGGGTTGTACCAATTTGTCGTGGTTTATATTTAATGTTCCCCCAAGGCCTCCTGCACTCATAGGTGAGGCTTTTGGGAAGTGACTGGATCAAGAGCGATGATCGGATCATGTCTGCCATGCCATGAGGAAGCCTCTGCCATGGCTCTCTGCCATGGTGCCTTGCCTTGGTGCCAGCTGACTATGGAATGAAACCTCTACAAACTGTTAGCTAAAATAAACCTTTCCTTCTTTGTAAGTTATGGGCATTGGATATTGTGTCTCAGTAAAGAGAAAGTAACTAAGACACAATTATGTATCCACCAGCAATATATTAAATTACTCACAACTGGAGGTTACTTTAAACTGCTTGGTCTGTTTAGGTTGGAGCTAATATTAGTAACATTCTAAGAAGATAGTTTACATACTCAGCTGGCACCTGATAGGTTTTCTATAAATAGTAGATTTTTTTCCTCTTCCCTTTAACTAATTCAAATCTGATGGCACCAGCAAATGAAAATTAATTAATCTTATTAGCCATGTAGAGTAGCTTTTATGATAAAAGAGTTTACTAAATTTTATAAACTCGCAGATATTAACCCAAGTAAACACATGCACACGCACATGCATGCACACACACACACACGTGTGTGCGTGCGCACTGCACATTAAAACATTTAATTGTACTAATATAGTCAGGATAACTTTTTTTTTTTGGTACCGGGGATCGAACTCAGGTCCTTGCGCTTGCGTAGCAGGCGTTGAAACCACTGAGCTAAATCCCTGGCCCTAGGATTACTTTATGTAGAAGCTGATATATACATTTAAAGGGCAAACATATTTGTGCAAAACTAGTTTGGCTCTAAAATGAAGGAATTCTTTAATCTTATATTTGGGAAGCTGGTACATTAACTCCATAGATTATAATATACTTATTTCTAGTTTTACTTGAGTTTTTACTATTAGATTGATCATCTAGACAAATGAGGCTTCTCTCATACAATCCTCATTAAATATTACAAGATATATGAAATAGCTTCAAAAATTAAAAAAATTAAGATGGTGGCTTAGAGATAAGAGTGGTTGACCAGCATGAATTCAAGTTTCAGCATTATGGATTTAAGAAGATCATAAGGGGGTAAACCTATTATTTTAATATGCACTAACAATAAATAAATAAAATAAACAAAACTAATCCCTACATAAAAGCAAAAGTTCTTATTAAAAATAAGGGGGATGAGGAGCTTATCTGAACATAAAGTTTACTGATGATAGACTTGCTAAAGAAAGACTTTTTCCCCTGAAATTCTATAGAATTAGACAATGTGAATGAATGCCCCAAATGAACAATATCTTGATGATAGATGGTACTTTCAGTGGGATCTAGTTTTAGGTAAGATTGTAGTTAAGTCATTCTGCAAATAGACGTTTCCTGTTCCATAGGAAGTGACAAAAATGTTTGAGAATGAATAAAGAGGATGTTTTAATTTTAAGAGTACCCCAGGAATAAGATTTCAAACCTCCATTATAGTAATATTTATAAAGTATTTACTTTGCAGCATCATTCATCTTTATATAACACCTAAATCTTTCATGTTAAATCAATAAATTCAATGAAGAGTAACATGTTTTATTCTTGTGTCTTCTGTACCACAACCCTACATTCCTGGAAACCAAATAATTTATGGTCAGGGATGAGTTGGTGTGACTATGATGATATGGTAGGAAGTTTCCTGGGCTTGGAGTCAGGAATCTTGGGTTTTACTCCTAGGCAGCTGTGTGATATTGGACAGCTCATGTCATTATCATGATCTTCAGTTTCCTCGTGTAAAAAAAATGGAATGTGGTTGTAAATAACTTTAAGCTCCCTTCTATTTCTGAAATTCAGTGAATATGGGAGATAATTTCTATCTTGTGTTTCCATAAAGGCAAAAGAATTTTACAATCTTTAATTTTTTTAGTCTTGTTTTCCTTCGATGTTGATGATGATGACCACAAGATGACAACTAACATCTATAAAAGTTTTCTATACAAATATGTTACATGGGTTGGCTTATTCAACAATCATAACAACTTCACAAGGTAGGTACTATTACAATCCTATTATACACCTGAGTCACGTTAGACAAAAATTGGTTAATTAACTAGATAAAGATGACACAGCTAATATTAACTTTTGGAATTCTAAATCAGGTCTCATGACTACCGAATTTATGCTCTTAATAACTATATTTTGCCACATCTATAGTTTGTTTCATTATATTTTTTGATTTCAAGTTGTATTGCCTAATTATATGGTTAAGTTAAAGTACTCCTTATAATAGAAGGCTAGATATTTGTTATTTTTATTATTTACATACAAAGGCAATTTTTGAATGTCCCAAACAAGAAACTTATCCACAAGTTACTGTGTGTGGAAACAGCCTTGATTATATAAATTTAAGCTTGTATAAATTCACTATGGCTTTTAAATAGAGTGCATGATATATTTACAGAGTATAATCCATTGGTTCCTCAGTTCAATAAGCA